GGCCATCTTTCCATTGCCTCATGAGGAGCCTATTGTGATTTATATATTTAAGATTTATCTATTGTGGTAAAGAGTAGGGGATTTAATTGTATTCTAGTTATGTTAGGAAATTAATACCACCTGAGTGAGTTTTAATTGAAATAGAGGATCCCAGGAGTCTTTCGGCCGGAGAGAGGGCCTGGAGACTCCCTGTTCCCACTGTTCTGTTGTTGTTGCTCCTTGGAGACTGTGGCATTTTTGAGAGACCAATTTTATTGTAATTAGTTTGAGATTCACTATACTATGTATTGTTGGAAGTTTAGTATTGAGCAAAGTGGTGACTTCTTTTTAAAAATGAGGCAGATTATGATTTCTAGCTTTTGGTCTCTTGTTAGCAGAGCTTAAAATGCTGCTCTATTGCTAAGGCCCAAAATTATCTCCTTTCCAGTAGCAAATGTTAAATGATTGAATATCACAGAATCAGTTGTTTTACATTTTTGTTTTCCATGTGCTTTGGGGGGTAGGGGGGAGAAGTTTCGAAATCTAATGCTGCCAGAGTATTTTTAGAAAGAACTTTTTAGCTGTTAATAACTGAATGATTGAGGCCTAAAAACTGTAAAAGATTATTCATTTATTCTCTTACTTCTTATTACTCTTTTTACATCATGTTTTCAGAATTATCTTCTGCTTTAGAGGTATAATGGTATACAAAGTTAGTCTTTCAGCTGTAGTAGGAAGGTTGTAAAATATAGCAGAGGCAGCATGAGACAAGTGAAGAGTTCTGCTAAAGCTTTATAACATCGGACAAGTTATTCTCTCTTAGTCTTACTTTCCTCATTTGCATAGTAAACAATAATATATCTCTACATTTTATTATAAATATTAGAGTGGATGAAATAATGAATTGGAAAGTTCTTTGTACAGTGAAATTTTATACAGCTGTTATTTTCTTGCTAACTCAGGAAATTACAATGCCAAGTGATGACACGCTTTTCCTTGGCACACTAGCTGCTGACTATCCCATGTGCTACTAATGCTCAGGCCAAGTCATCCCCAGTGATATCTTGCCATTCTGTATAGCTCTGCTATTTCAGATCTCTGATGGAGTAGTCTGATGGATTAGCTTGATGATTTCTGAATAAAAATTCCAGGATGCTTGAGGTAGAAAGCCTGAGAGTCATTGTTCCTAATATACCTAGGGATTTTATAGTAGAGTATAGCCCGAAAGAGTTCTTAGCAATTTCTCTACTTGAAAGAGAGTAAATTTTTTAATTTCTGCTAAGATAGTAAATTCTTAAGATAGTATTTTTTTTTACTAAATGTACAGGAAGGTGAAAGGATTGGTCCTTGTCCACATCCAGTCAGTTTTAAATTAGGAGGCCTCTAGAGTCTCTTTCAGTGATAGCTTCTATAGGACCTATCTGTTTACCTTCCTACTTTGCTTTTCATATTTTTACAGAATTATCTGATTTGTGCATTTTCTTATATACAAATCAGTAGTGGCCTGTAGCATGAAGATTTGTGCAATAGGCCTTCCTTCCCCTGGCTGCCGGCACTGGTTTAACTCTGGCACCAGGGTAGGCCTTTGTTGGTCCAGCCACAGCAGCGAGGCTTGGCTTCTCCGCTCCAGCTGCTCCCAGCCCCTCCTTTTTTTTTTTTTTTTTCCAGCTCCTTGAGAGGAGCCCAGGGCCGGCGGGAAGCTTGGCTTCCTCCGTCACCAGGAGCAACCCAAGCCTCCTGCTTGCTCCAGCTCCGTGGCCGCCGCCATCTTTAGTCGTCTTCAGTCTTCCCTCCGTGCCTGCGTATGCAAATTAACCTCCATCTTTGTTGGGTTAGTTTTCATAGTCACTCTGATTGGCTGGTGGGTGTAGCGGAGTGATGGAGTGATGGTTAATTTGCATGTTTCTCTTTTATTAGTGTAGATGATGCTGGGGTAGCCTCTGTTCCCAAGTATACTTGAGGTTAAAGAGATAATAAATCCCAGGGTTTTGATGGATAGCTTTCATAGCTGATTCTTGAGACTCTGAAACCATTTCTCTAAAATGTGAATTTTTTTTTTTTAGAAATGCAGCCTCAGAGGAGGCAAGAGGAGAAAGTCATTACACAATCGTATATTGCTTAAATTCTCTTATCAGAGCAAGAACAGAGCTGTGACTGCTGTTTTTGTTACTGAGATATAGTTATACAGTGGAAAAGCATAAGTTTTGATTATATCCCAGACAGCTTTTGTTCTCAGTTAAAATTGTAGAATACAGCAGTCATTCTTAAAATCTATTTATTTAATCTTAATAAAAAATGGTAATGCTTTATTTTGTGAATTATGCCTGTGGGGTTTTGCAAGCAACTTGTTCAGTGGCATTATTAATTCATAGTTCATTTCTTTTTTTTAAAATCTGGTCTTAAATCACTTCTGTTTCAAATTTTCTTTGGGACAATTGGATTATAAGGAAATGTATTCAATACCTTGGATTTTAATCTTTCTGGATCTAACCTTTCTAGATCTCTTTATGAAGAGTTTAATTTCAAAAGACTGATTCTGTCTTTAGGAGTGCTATAATATAAGTTTATTTTTCAAAGAAGAAGAAAATAACTTATCTATAATAATAAAGTGTAATATGCTAATTAGATCGGATGTCCTCCCGGACAACCTTCCAGACGAAGCCGGGGCTGCGAGGGAAGCCCAGGTCCCGGGTGCCTGCTGGTGGCCGGAGAGAAGTCAGGGTCCTGGGTGCCAGAGTCAGCTGGTGCTGGCAGCCAGGGGAAGGAAGGCCTACTCTTGTACGAATTTTGTGCATCAGGCCTCTAGTAGTATATAAGTTTGTAGTCAACCTGAAAAATTGAGTTAAGGTTAACATGGTCAGAAACAGAAGTAATAGCGTATTTGGGGGGAATGGAGCATGATGACTTAGAGCTCAGCTTAGATTAAACTAAGCTGTTTGGTTTTTTTTGTTTTTAATCTTCACCTGAGGATATTTTTCCATTGATTTTTAGAGAGAGTGGATGGGAGAGGGAGAGACAGAGAGATAGAAACATTGATGTGAGTGAGACACATCAATTGGTTGCCTCCTGCACACACCCGACAAGGGCCAGGGATTGAGCCTGCAACCAAGGTACATGCCCTTGACTAGGAATTGAACCCAGGACCCTTTAGTCCGAGGGACGACGCACTGTCCACTGAGCCAAAACGGCTGGGCTAAACTAGTTTTTTTAGCAAGTATATTTAAGATTTCTTTTACTTGGAAATGAGATGTGAAGGGAGCATTTGAAAACCTTGAGAACTGTTATATATGTGTTGGCTTGTGTTCAGGTTTATATACATTTAAAGCATTTAAATCATATGTGATACTGTTGTAAAATGATGGTGTTGACAAGATTTAAGTTATTCTTTCTAGAAGTGGTGTTGGACTTGTGCTAACTAAATCATACCTGTTGGGGTGGTTCACCTTGGAACTAAAGACATATGTTTAATATAACTGGCCATAGCCTGGCTTGTGTGGCTCTGTGGTTCAGCATCAACCCATGAATCAGGAGGCTCAGGGCACATGCCTGGGTTGCAGGCTCCATCCCCAGTTGGGGGGGCGAGGAGAGTGCAGGAGGCAGCCAGAGATTCTCTCTCATCATTGATGTTTCTAACTCTCCTTTTCCCTTCCTCTCTCTGAAACCAATAAAAAAATTAATTTGAAAAGATAGCTGTCCTTAATATAATATAGACTGTGCATATTATTGACTTTTGTGTATATTAATACCTCTGTGAACTTAAATGACTAAAATATTGGTTATAATATACCACTAATATTTGTATACTCATTTATCTTACAGTTTTATATTTGGTAGGAGAAAACACTCAAGCCATTGGAAAACTAGATTATATTTTTTAATCTAGTTTTTATCTTTTTATATATGAGGTACAAATGAATGCTTCATAATCTTGACTTGCTATCTAGAGTTAAATATTACATTATTTTTTCTTTTATTAGGTTAGCATCTTAAAAATAAAATCGATAATTAAAGTAGTAGAGGACAAAAAGGAAAATGTGTAGTTTAGTCATTGAGCCTATGGACTTATTTTGTACTGAGAATTGGTTTTAGATTTGTCAAAGAAGAGAGAAGTAGCAGAAATCATAATTGCTACTTCAAATGATTATACTCATAAGAATCTGTGTGTATTGTGAAATCAATAACAGAATAATTTAGAGCTCTAAAGTTAGGTGCTAGGTAGCATAGGATAGTTTAGAGTAGATTAAGAATTCAGAGGAAAAGGTTATTGTGAACTATGCCAAGTAGGAAGTAACTCTTGAGCTTGAATTGCAGAGTCTTTAGATTGTTCCTGGGTCAGGGGGTCAGGTGAAGAAAGGCAAAAAAGGTAGGAGAGGGCCATGAGTGGGCAGATACCCCAGAGCCAGTGAGCTACTTATGAATGAGGCTAAGTTCAGAATAGATTTTGCATTTCCTACCCCAAATTAACATTCTTTCCTGTTACTTTTCTCCATCTGACCTTTCTCTGAGAGTCATTCCACTGTTTTCTTAAAAGCAATAAGACATGAAGAAGCAAAAAACTCAAACCCTTACCTTCCTAAAGGCAGAGTGGTGTGAATAGAGTGAGCATATTTAGACATTTGCAACTTCACATATTTTATTTTCAAGTACAATAAGGAAGACTTGAGGAAATAACTAGGGCTTTTTAGAATTGTATAGATAGGGATTCAAACCTTAGTGAGTTCACCTTTCTTCCCATTATGTTTAATATGGGAATAGTACTATTATATTCATGGTGTTGTTTCCATTAAATATAGAGTCACATGTATAAAGCATGGTGCGCCTGATCTATAGAATTACTGAATAAATGGTGGGAAAGAAATACTTAAATTGAAACAAATAGTTGAAGTAACTCTATATGATAAACTAAAATAAACATTTAAAAATAGCCTGTGGCAAAGAATATAGTTTAATTTGTATACTTTGGCAATTTTCTCTGTTTAATTCTTTACATTTCTCATTTGTCTATACCTTTTTTCTTTTAGGAGACAAGGATGGCAGTAAGGTGACCACAGTGGTGGCAACTCCTGGGCAGGGTCCAGACAGGCCACAAGAAGTCAGCTATACAGACACTAAAGTGATTGGAAATGGGTCATTTGGTGTGGTATATCAAGCCAAACTTTGTGATTCAGGAGAATTGGTTGCCATCAAGAAAGTATTGCAAGACAAGAGATTTAAGGTAAGACCTTCAGTATTTCATGTATTTTGCTATTAATACATGATTTTCAGTTGTTTCTTTTTGCTTCACATTTCATTTATTGTGCATATTTTTGTTCAGCTCAACTATTTACTATAGTGATTTTATTTTCTGCTGTATGTTGTGTAGAAATAAAATCTACTGAAGATTGCATTATTTTTTAACTACTGCTATTAGTGATTCATGCATTTAAAATGCTGTGAAAGGTAGATTAAAACATCTTACTTTCTACTTTTAAAAAGTTACCTCTCCTGCCTTGGGTCTCACAGGTATAGTAGACCAGAGAAACATTGACTGTAGCAGAGGATCATTTGATATTTTTGACTTTGCTTCCTTTCTTTAAATATTTCCTTTGAATCTATTATTCAACATTATCATCTCCCACACACACACACCCCACAATAACTTTGATCTTTCTTTACTAGTTTCTTATGTCTCTCTTTGTCCCTAGGAACCAGCAATCCCCGCAGTTCATTTTATTGTCATTTCTTACACCATTTCTTTAGGGGATCCTATGAATGGATGTTTGGAGGTCATCTCTATGTTATGGTATAGTGGAGAGTCAGGAGACCTGGGCTATAGTCAAGGTTCTGCCATTAGTAAGACATGCAGTTCTATACCTTTCTCTACTCCTCCCACCTCTGCAACATTCTACTGAGAGTCTCCCGTGTGCTAGGAACTATGCTAAACATTAAGGGATGTAAAAAAAGTGAGGTGATTACTGCTCTGAAGTAGCACACATTTTAGTGTCTTGCTTTAGAATGTCTCGAACATTCTAAGGTGGTTTTAGTTTCTTAGGAAACAAATCTACAGATTTTGTCATTAGTTCTCTCTCTCCGAATCACTACTCCCATGTTGCCAAATGCCCACTGGTGTATCTCAATGTTGGGCTGTTATCTCAAATTGTCAAGGCTTCTTATACAACCCTGACTTAACTTTTAAGACCCAATAGAAATCATTTCGGTTGGTTTGAATTCCTTTTTCCTTCTAATGGCATATCATTTATCTTGTCATTCAGACTCTTCTATTCTCTAAAACCTATTCTCTCATACCTCATATGCAATCATTATCAAACTTGATTTCTTTTTTTTATCCCCCTCACTGCCTTGTTGATTTATCCCTTCTTTCCTTTCCTCATCACTACCATTCTAGTCAGGCCCTTGTCATTGTTTGGCTGAACCACTCATAAGACTATACTTCTGATCTCTTCCTTCTGGTCCCTTCTATATACCAACACTAAAATAATCCCACAGTTCAGTTTGGTCATGTTGTTTCTCTTACATACAAATCTCCTATAGTTCCTCATAGTCTAGAAAATAAAACCTGCCCAGTTCAATTATACATTTAGGAGCTTCCATAGTCTTGCCTAATCTTCAAATACTCAGCTTTCCAACTTTTCTGTGTCACGGCCCTTGACCTATATTGGTCTTTATGACCTCTCTGCTTTTATTCAGATTCCCATTATCTTTCCATATCACTCCCATTCTTCCATCTAAGTCTAAGACCCATGTCAGATTCTTCCTTTATGAAATTTCTCAGATGATTCCAGCCAGCCATATGGATTTTGCTATTCTAAATTCCTTGAACACTAGAAAATTTCCAAATTTTTTTTTTCATGACAAGGACTCCATTTTTATTATGTGTGTCTCTTGGGTGCCCACATATTCAATGTTTTCTTTGGATTAGTAGTTGATGATAGCAAATACCAAGTACTTTTTATATGCACAATGATCTAACGTTTTTACGTGCGTGGTTTTATTTGAGACATAACATTAGTATTATGAGATTGGTTATTATTTGGATTAGGCAAACTGTGCACAAAGAAATGATAAATTAACTTGTCCAGGGTCACACTTAGCACATGAATAAATGGCCAAGTATTTAAATCCAAGCAGTCTGACTCCAGGGTGCTTTATTACATTTTATCATCGCTGTATCAAACCCATATATTCTGTTCAGAGATATTTGAGTTGGTTCTGTCTTTTTTTTTTAATGTAAATTTTTTCCTCTAGCATAGTTACATTATTTATTTGAAATACAGTTTGGTTTATCTGTTTCTGTATGTATCTATCCATTCTTAGAACTTTATCCCCATTCTTTTTGATTTTTTTAAAAAAAATCTGAAACACTAACCTGGTTCCAAAAGCCAGAAATATACAAGTATTTTTCCCTCGTATTCTCTCTGTCTTGTTTGTGCTCACTCCCTGTAGATGGCCAATCTCATTATGTTTTAGTTTATTTTTTCTGGGTTTCTTTTGCACAAATGAGCAGTTAAGAATAATTTTCTTGGTTTCTTTCTTACATGAAAGGTAGGGAATACATTAGAGACACTCTTTTGTATTTTGGTTTTTCTATTAGCTATGGTTCCTGGGAATCATTGCATATCCTTTTTATAGCTGCATAGCATTGCAGCATTGATTCAACCATTCTTCCATGTGTGGATATTTAATTTCTTTTTAGTATTTTGTAAATCTCTAAGAGTGCTGTTATGAAAAACCTTTTACATATGCCCTTTTTAAATTAGATGTATATCTTCAGTGTAGATTAAGAGAAAGTAGGACTGCTTCATCAAAACATAAACACATATGCAGTTTTGTTGGATATTGCTAAATTCCTCTCCATAAGGGTTATACCAATTTGCATTCACTCCAAGAATATGAGTGCCTATTTCCCCACAGCTTTGACAACATGCATTGCTTTACTTTTCAAAATTTGCCAGCCTGGTAGGTAGTAGTTTAATTTACAATCTTTTTTTTTTTATATATATATTTTATTGATTTTTTTACAGAGAGGAAGGGAGAGAGATAGAGAGTTAGAAACATCGATGAGAGAGAAACATCGATCAGCTGCCTCCTGCACATCTACTGGGGATGTGCCCGCAACCAAGGTACATGCCCTTGACCGGAATCGAACCTGGGACCTTTCAGTCCGCAGGCCGACGCTCTATCCACTGAGCCAAACCGGTTTCGGCTAATTTACAATCTTATTGTGGATGTACTTTACCATCTTTTCATCTGTTCACTGTCCACTTTATTATTTGTGTGTGAATTGTCTTTTTGGGGGGCCCATTTTTAAAATGGATTTTGGTCTTTTTGTCTTAACTCTGAAGAGTTTATTATGGATTTAGTCTTTATCTGTGTAAAGGGTAGTATTTTTACTTTATATAGTCTATATTTTGCCATGTAAAACTCACCCCTCCCCACCATGTAGTCAGACTTATTGTTCTCTTATCATGTTTGGATTTTAACTTATGGTTAGAAAGCCTTTTCACAATAAAGTCTTTCCTTATAGAAAAAAGCCTTTTCCTCAGGTAAAGAGAAATTCACTCTTATTTTTTTCTAGTACTTGGTAAGATTTCACTTTTTATATTTAGATTTCTAATACGTTTGAAGTTTATTCCTTTGTATGGGGTTTATTCCTATGTATGGTATGAGTTATTGATCTAATTTTTATTCTTTCTATATCATTAACCAGTTGTCTTAGTACAATTTATTAAAAGGTCTATCTTTGTTGCACTGATTTAAGATGCCATTGTTATTATATGCTAAATTTCCACAAGTACTGGTCTATTTCTGGACTTTCCATTCTGTTCCAGTAGGTCATTTGCATACTGCTATGTCAGTACCACACTGTTTTAATTACAGTGCTTTAAAATGTTTTTGTTTGTTTCTTTGGTAGGGCTAATTCACCAATGTAGCTTTTCTTTTTCGTGTTTTTCTAGCTATTCTTGAATGTTTATTTTTTTGTATGAACTTTGGTATCCTTTTGGCTAATTCCAAAACAAAGGTTGTTGATATTCTAAATTGGAATTTCATTAACTTTATAAATTAGTAAGAACTAATCTATTTGTGATATTTAATTATCCAGGAATAAGAGGTTATCTTTTCCATTTGTTCAAGTTAACTTTTGTGTCTCTCAGGAGTTTTATTTATACAAGCTTTTGACATTTTTTGTTAACTTTATTTCTAAGAATTTTATGGCTTTTGTTGCTATTGTATAGTTGCTACTGTTTCTTTTTTGTGTTTTTTTTTTTCTCCTACATGCTAAAAAGTGGCAAGCTGCCTTACACCAAGCTCAATTATTTCCATTGTATCATCTTTCCTTTGTGGAATTAAAGTATTCTTAGTTCTCCTTGCTAATGTTAACTATTTAAAAAGAAGATTTTTTTAATACAGTGATCAATTTATTTCTCTTGATTATCATAAAAAGTAGGAGTTTTTGACCTCTTAAAATTTTGTAGGTTTACATCTTTGATTTACATACCTGTTGGCTAGGATTTCATGAAATAATACGTATTTCTAGAAAAAGATTGGAATGGAGTCTTCTCCATGCTCAATTACATAAGACAACCTGCTGAACTTGCTAGTGTCAATGAGAGGCAGTTTGTTTTGGTGAAATAAGAAGAGAGAGAATAATCCTATCTAATAATGGAGAAACATGGTAATTAACCTTAACTTCGCTACCCTTCCCATTGGCTAATCAGGGTGATATGCAAATTAACTGCCAACCAAGATGGTGGCCGGCAGCCAAGCAGATGAAGCGAGCAGGAGGCTTGCTTGCTCCAGTGATGGAGGAAGCCAACGTTCCCCGCCTGCCGCTGCCGGCCTCTGAGCTGCACTCTAAGAAACAATGTTGCAATTATAGAAGCTAAACAAACCCCAGAAACCTGCTTTCAGCCAGCCGGGCCTCAGAGCTGGAGCTGCAGCAGAGTTTCAATTATAGAACCCAAACAAACCCAGATACCTGCTTTCAGCAGCCGAGGTCTCAGAGCTGGAGCCAAGCCTCAGAGCTAAAGACGGCTTTCAGTTCCAGTGACAGCCAGAGAAGGTAAATAAATTCCAGAATAAAAAAAAAAGGAGGGGGAAACCAAGATGGCGGCATAGGTAAACATCGGAGATTGCTGCCTCGCACAACCACTTCAAAAATACAACTAAAAGACATAACGGACATCATCCAGAACCACAGGAAGGCTGGCTGAGTGG